TTTCAGTAGATTCCTCCAGCCTTGGATAGATCTCTCCAAGTTTTGCAAAACTGGCAAAATTGCATCCTTTGAGTTTTTATTGAATGACGATTGATGTTATGGGAAGTTATCGCTCGGGACGCGACTTCTTGATCGACTCCAACTGGAATACGTTAATGGGAATATTAATATGATTCTCAGCAAAGAGATTTTGAAAAAAAAAGAGTAAACTGAGAACAATAGCATAAAATAGATTATGAAAAGGTGTACGTACTAAGAATCGAGGATGTCAGCAGATCAACAATGTTAGATACGAAAGATGGAAGCAATCAGCAGTTGAATGTAAAGAGTTAGCGCAATTTACATCAAATTAGAATGACAACAGACGAGACACTAATCACAGTAGATATGCACACATATCGTTATTGACATGTCGAAATCACAGTCGTATTGTGAGTGAGTGAACAGCTAGTCGTGCTGAAAGTTGAGCGTCTAACGAGGCACACTTTCATTACATTTCTTGGATGCTTCCTAATCCTTCAATCTCATTGGCAATTTAACACAACATTACATCGCTCAGTACAATATTTCCGGTATCTATTATATAAATAAACGAATAAGCATAAGAACAAGTGTACGGAACAATAGATGATTTATGAAGAAATACTTCGGTCCTTGAAAATTTTGATAAATAACTGAATTAAGTACAACTTGTTAGAAGTTATTCACAACGTAAAACTGGTGTATTTTTGGAAATGGTGAAGAAAATTGAACATTTTGCTGTTATATTAGAAAATTATCAAACCATAGAAAAAGAATAAATTTCTTGGCAAAAGCAATATGAAGTCGAGGATCATCGAAATAAAGCTCATTTTAATCGCACATTTTTGCAGAGCATTTGTGCGGGCCAAAAATTCACAAGTTTTTGATTGACATCATTAAAGAATACACCCATCACAATCACTTATATCACTCGTTGATGAGCTTTTAAGAAGAAAGTGCATTCCGCAAGAAAACACTCCTATTTCACACATTTTATTAGATTTAGTTACGATAACGTCAAACATCAGAATCCATGTTTTCTTCAGCTTCATGAGCATTAAAATCGGAGAAACGTAATGCCACCCAATTACTGGCAGGCAAAAAGCCCTTGGCCAGATTTGATAGTTCGACGAAGCTGCTGGAAGGCAGGATACTCGAGAAATGAGCGAAGTTTCTTGTTTTCCGCTGACCAAACGAAATTTTGATCACGAATCTTGCAGTAGAAGCAAAAAAAGAACAATTTTATAAGCCTTAGTTCGACGAGAAAATGCAGAGCATAAAAATGCAATGATGAAATGTATTCTTCGTAGGATTTGTCGATGCTTTCAACCTTTTCAAGTTATATTGATTACGTTCATGATGTATCCTTCAAGAAAATAACCCGATGTGCAGTTATCCGATTAACATTTGTCTTATTATCATGTCCCTTGTTTACTCAATTCACGCCATTATCAACCCCATTCGATCATTCAATAATAATTTGTGTACACTAAACTAACAAACGGACACAAAACATGTAAAAATGAGCGCCTGAGAAAACCACTGAAGTGTTTTTGCTGCTAAGAGAAACTCGACTGAAGATGGTTTGATCACTTTCCTTGGAAAAATATTCAACGGTATTCGTTTATATCCTCATGAAAGCAGCTAATCCCCCAAATCGCACACGTCTCATTTCAGTTGGCTGACCAATACCAGTTTTCATAACACTGCCATTTTTCGGCAATGCTTCCACCATGATTTCCACTTCAGTCATCCGTTAACATCAACAGAAATAGGAAATGGAACAACAGATCACGTATTCATCAGATGTATTTTACGGCATATCCTCTTCTCCATTATTTAAATAATGTATTATCTCATGTACATCAACAAAAATATCCATATACTAAATTGATACACAGCGAAAGTTGCATTGTTTTCTTTTCACAGTGCAAACCTATCCAAACAACGCCTCTTGAATTCGTCTCCTCGCTTTAATCGTTCCGCAAAAATTTCTAACGAGTGCTCAAATACATTTTCAAACAAACGATCGTGTTTTCTACAATTCATATTTTCTCAATAATTTGATTATGTTGTTCTCATCAACCACCGATTAATTCCCGCATTTTGCTGAATGCATCCTCGAAGTTTTTGTTTTGACGAGATCAAATTCTGTTGTACATTTGCAATGAAGCATCAGCAATTTAGAGCATTCACAACAAATATCCGCAGCGTAAAGCGGTTTACTGTCATTTTATCATTTCTTTCCCAAATATCTTGCCCTATTATATCAACAATGAGTAGATTCCTTCAGAGTAGCAAAAAAAGATTGTTTTAGCGAAATGATTCAAATCATCGATAGATTACTGTTAGCCTATGTTGTCACTGTCGTTCATTCAATTGTCACACCACCAAGCATATATCGATGGATCTCCGAAAACTCACATATATGTAAGTTTAGAAATGATTTATTGTGCTAATTTCAGTCTTTATGAACTATTAACAGTCAAGTCAACTTCCGGATGCTATATTGTTCACACGATTGCTGTTTTCAACTGATCAGAATTGCAATATCATTTGCCCTGAACAACAAACACTTAATTAAATTAGCTGGTTTTCAGTGATAAAAACGCTTTTGTTAGCCACCAATAAGGATGTCAACATTTTTTGCACGTAGCGCTGAAAATTACAACCTCTTGAAAGAAAATGTTAAGCTCAAATGCATTTTGAAAAAGCCATATGCTTTGGAGATGTATCAAAGATATTCAACCTTAATTGTTGACTCCAAAGTAATAATTAGTAAAGTCATAAAATTGCAAAAAACAGAAAAAATGCTGCCGCAATTAACAATTTGTGTTAATGATGAATCAAATCCCGTTAAAACATGGCCAAACGTAATTGCATCTTCCGTAAGATTCAGGTAGTTTCGAGCAAGCAGCAAAACGTGTGCATCACTTGAGCGAAGAGGAAGGACTAAACTGTTCATTGTGCCCGCAGCATGCTCCGAGTGATGTGCCTCTTCATGCATGTGCATCAGAAATTGCAGTAAACACATTGAACGTCAAGCTTGCATGCTATCCATGTATAATAACTAATTGCATCAAACACCTCATTTCTTGTTTTCAAATGCCATAGACCAGCCTTCGGCAACCCCCGGCCCGCGGGTCAAAATTGGCCCACCGACAATAATTTTTGACCCGCCAGATGAATTTGAGACTTTGATTTTAAAAGGATAAAAAACAGAAAAAAGGTTTCAAATTATTTAGCTACTAAACTAAAGATTTTCAACACAGAGTTTTCTAATAGACGACTAACTGTGACGGTGGCCCGCCAGTCAGTTACTCTGGAAAATTTCGGCCCGCGGCCAAACCTACTTGCCGATAGTTGCCATAGACGATGCCAAAGCATGTATGGGCCGGTCGATACAAAAATGGAGTTAATTTTTGAGTGGTTGTATCACAATGAATCGATCCTTCCAAATCAGCGTTCAGTTATTCAGTTTTTGCATCGTTCAGCTCGAAACGGTGCCGCAAATAAATTTTGCATCGAAGAACGTATTTGCATGTTTGCATTAGTAGTTTTTCGGTGAAAATCATTTACATTTCAAAAATCGCGTTTAGAAAATCTTTCGAAATGTGGATCATGTATTCATGGAAGTCATCAATGTTTAAAGGAAATGATACACTTTAAGGACTGCATTCTAGTCTTCTGCTTCCCATGAATAATATTTTTGGTGTCATCATTTAAGTCTGATTGTTCATTGAAAAAAACAATCTCATTATGAAATGTAAATGTTCATTTACAGTGCCGGATATTTGTATTAGAGAATTGAGAGCGAGATATGCGAATTTTTATGAACGGAACAGTATGATAGTGAACCGAAGAAACAATACTGGCAGCTCAACAACACAGCAACCAATTGCGTATCGTTTCACTGATCGAACAACACTGCAAAGTGTTGCTGCAGTGCAATCAACTGAAAATGCAGTGAGTTCTGATGGAATAATGCAAGAGGACTTAGAAGAAGAGCGTTTAAATATTGATACCGATGAATCACAACGAACTGAACTGCAATTCAATATTCAATTAAAACAATCGTCGAACGATGATCGTCTTTCGAATATGAATACTTTCACTGCATCAAAACGGCCAATCAGTACAACACCGTATTCAAGATCTTCACGCAATCAAACCATGAATCGTCATAAACTTGTCAAAAGATCTGTTCAAATGCTCAATGCCTCATCTAAACCACATCATCAACTAATTCATGATAACAACTCATTTATGAGGACTAATGAAGAGCTGTCATTATGCAAACACATCGCGACGGCATTTACTCCTGGTGTATTCACTACGACTTGGAATTGTGAACATAATTCAAGTATTATTATGATCGACGACATGAACAAAACAGACGACAACCGTAATAATGTAAGCAATAGTGATATAAATATTACGAATGCTCACGACATTGATGATACGAGCATGCTTTCAACCGCTGTATATGTTAATGTTGGTGCGAACTGTTCACCTGATTCTGAAAACGGGTTCAAATGCGAAGCGAACAAAGAAAGAATCACTAAAGATATGAATGAGGATAAGTTAAAACAATTTCTTTCAATAGAAAAGAACCGACCATTCAATTGTGACGATGCTCAAATTGGATTTGCATGTAGTGGTGCGGAGTTAGCTCAGCGAATGCCAAAGCAAGAAGCATTTAATGAAAAAAAACGAATTTTGAAAAGAGTTCATCGAATGCATCAAAACAATGTGAACAACACAACGAGAATTTGTAACGACACTCATGAGGTTACTACTCACTTAATTTATACTGAATCTCATTTTCTTCTTCTTTCAATCCAAGAAAATAATTTTAATATCTTCGTCACATTTTGGATTCATTCATTCGATAATCACATTTCCTCATGTTAGAAGTGGAGTAAAATACAAAAATTGCTCGCTGAAAAATAATTTTGAAGTTGTGTTGCTTCTGGGCAATGGCAGGTGAATGTGACCGTAACCCGTACTGGATGCGAATCAAGTGTGCAAAAACTTGTGGAACGTGTAATTGCACTTGTAGGTTACCCTTGTAGCACATTCATTCTCATTAAACGATATATGCACAACGTCGAATTATAAAATAAACATTTTCCGTAGTCGTAATGGATCTCCTTCTTTTCCACTCTCGAATTTTCATTTCATTCATCTGAACTTTCGAATTCAGTGTGTTCGGCTTACTTTTAAACTCAATTTCGCATTCTTTCCCAACTCAGAAACGTGTTCAGCTTGTTTATGAAGGATGCGTGCAGACAGTGTTTAGGCAGTCAGAATCACCTGCTTTTTGAAAATACTCGCATTGCTCTAAATAGAATTAAGGTATATGCTTTGAAGCGAATGAAAGTGCTCTGAAAATTGCAGTGTATCGCTTGATCACTCTGAGAACATTATGCAGTAATATTCAAAAAAAAACTTGTCGCATGCTGTTTGAACGTAACGCCGAAAACAACGCTGAAAAGTTTGAAAGTGGAGCAAAGCAAAATATTTCTAATTGATGTAAACTATTAATGCAAGCAAGTCTGCTTTATTGCAGTAAAAAAAGCGAAAGAATGTATTTCGACCGGCATCAAGTGCTACCTTCCTACCACAACGTCAACAACAACAACAACAACAACAACAACAACAACGACAACTACTTCTCCACTTTCATCTACTACTCATGTCATTACAACCATGACATCAGCTAGTCATCAAGCTGCTAGAAATGGAACGGATCCGACCGATCAATCAGTTGACTCCTCGTTATCTCTCGAAAATCGAACACGTTACGGGTACCACAAAAGTGTAACAAATTATAAGAATTTCAGTATGTTCACGCAAGCAAAGAAGGTAACTGCTTGAAAGTCAATCATTACGCAGTAGAGTTGATGTTTCTGAAATCTTGTATGAAATCAGTACGTGCTTTCGTAATAAACAGCTATGAACAATAGTGATTTCCTGAAGTAATGATGAATAGAATCGAACTATTCATCTGAACATGACCAGCATAATGTTAAACTGAGCGCATACGCACATTCGCATTCGACAACAACAAATAAAAGCATGTCTGAGGAAATGAAATTTAGAGGTTAATCAAACTCTAAATATTGACTACCTGGACTGGCCAGGCTATCAAACGTTTGTAACTTTGCTGGCCACAATGCTCCCGTTTCCGTGCATATTGTTTTAGCCTCAATTTACGCCACCTCGCTGGCTAGGCGAGCAGATCACAAACTCTAAATATGAACGCTTAAAAATACCTAGTCATAAGGGCATTTTTTTCGAATGACCAAAAGTTGTCGATTACCGAGCGAAGCGTCATAAATGAAGCATTTCACGCTCACACAATTCATTGTTCCGCTCATAATAAATTCATTTCACGGCCCTTTTTTTTTCACTTACAAATGCACCTTGCATGTATAACTATTATATCTCTTTGCAGATTTCACCAACAACTACAACTAAACTTAGAACAATTCTCAAAACAACAACTCCAATTACGACTACTACTGAATCATGTTTCAATTACAACCAGTACTGTCAATTTTGGGCTGATAATGGCGAATGTGAACGCAATCCATTCTGGATGAAATCTAACTGTCAGAAAGCATGTGGAAGTTGTGCGATGTTGCTTGGAAAGCCATATGCTCCCACTCCAAAGCACGGTTCGCTGCCATTTGATATGAATCACCGTAGTCTCGCAACTGACACCGTTTCAAATACATTTGAAACATCCGAACAAACTTCACTTTTGATCAGTGAAATTGAGCGGGAATGAGATGGAGCACAGTTCTGTTGAGAATATTGTGAATTATTCAACGTTTATTGTTTCGTTCTTACAGGTCACTGCGATGATACGCATAAGAACTGTGCATACTGGGCTCTTGCAGGTGAGTGTGAGGCGAATGCGAATTGGATGCAGTCATACTGTCGTTTAAGTTGTCATCTATGCTAATTGCATAGCAGTTTCTTTCTGCTCGAAACAGTTACTGTTGATTAATGGTGAGAGTTTTACGCGAATTGTTATTTACAAGATAGAAAAATGAATGACGCTTATTTATAGCGTGTAAAAACCATTGAACAGTTCTTCTTAAGCATACGCTAGAAAATTTGATAACAAATTGTTCGTGTATGTTGTTCACAAAAATATATAAACAAATACAACAACGAAACACTACCGTATATTCACAAACCATAGTGTGATAAATAGTAGCATTATTGAAATGCACACGGCCCGTCTGTCCACAGCAGTGGTCCCCTCGCTCGGATGCTCCATTACCCCCTTCGGTGATCTGTCGTTACCTC